ACTCAGCAGCAAATGTGTCTAAGGTCACTAATGTGACAAGAATTGTCTGTCAGTGGATATGCAGACCATTAAGTACAAAAACCTCTGTAAGGAGGGGCATTATTATTGAAAGGCTCACACAGGAAACAAGTGAATAGCTGGCAAAATAGATCGGGACCATGGCTATCACCTTTTCAACGCATCTTGACATGCAAAATAGTCTGTATCCGCTCTGTATGGCACAACTATGCCAATGAAAAAATACACATAAAGTGACAAATAGGGATGTGCAACGCGCTCTTCAAGAGCGACACCGGGAAGTGTTTACAAAGATAAGGAATGTTTAACCGTCTAGTGAGTATCAAATTAAACTTTTAAGCAATCATTCAACAAAGCCCCTGTTGGCAGAGTATCAAACCTTTTTTTTCATTACTTCACTGTTAGCCTCTGATGCTATCCTGCTATATGTTCACTGAGCACCGAAATATATGTTTTTTCAAATATTCATTGCTTTAATCCTAATTTAGGATTAGGGCCAAATTTGACCCTTTGGGATTTAAGGGTAGCATTTGAGTAGCAGAATTTATCGGGGCCAAATTAGACCCCGTTGGTTCTCCAGGGTTAAATTGAAAAGAAAACCTTTCCATTGGTTAATGCAGTGGTGCACACTAGGGATTAGTATAGAAGACGGTACTTCTTTTTTTTTTTGGTACGAACCGATTTGGGTTGGTACTATCGAGCACTGAATCACATGAAATCAAACGGAGACAAGTTTCGGCGCTATAGCGCACAGACATATGGGTGCTCCTCAGATAGTCTGTTCCTCCGGAATGTTCAAATGCTGACCCATTTCGATATTTTTTTCCCCCCTTAACAATTAATCACTAGATTTCACTGATTCCAATTTTGCAAACATACTGCAGCGATAAAATGAATAACCTTACTGAGATTTGTGCTGCCATTCATGTGTGAATGTACTGCGGCTGGTGTCCAGGGCGATCTTATAAAGCTGGAGGTGGTCGGTGTAGGCAAGGAGATGAACAGTTAAACCGGATTTAAAAAAAAAAAAAAAAAAATTTGAGTCTTTCGAGCTAGCGCTTTGAGTTGGCAGAATTCCGGGGTCTACCAGGGGGATGAGTGAGTGAAAGGGACAGATTTGGTTTTGATGGTGGGGAGTTGATTGAGACAGGACGAGAGAGTGCTGTTGTAGGAGTTGGTTAGGACAGTGGGGTCATGGGACAGTGGAGGAGGTGAGATGGACAGGTGGTTGAGGACGGAGGTTGAAAAGTCAAGTTAAATGCTATACTATAAGATGCAAACAATTAATCAGCAATAACTGTTGATGATTTTTTTTTTGAATGGACTGATGAGACATGTAATCAACTTTTGAATATATGGGGAAGTCAGCCCCCAAATTTTCTTTACAATAATATATTCAATAGTCTAAACACAGCATACTGATTAGTATTGCGCATGTGGAACATGAGTTAAGCAGTAAAGTGCGTGTGTTTTTGTCCATCTCCACGGGCGGCCATTTTGCCAGTTGCTGTAGACTAAAAATGACATCACAGTTACTCAACAAGGAATCATGGCTCAGCTTCACAAAACAGGTTAGCCGTTTAGTATTAAACTTATTTAATTGTAGCCGCTAATATCTTGCCTGGTAATCATTGAATGTCAGCCGTTGGCCAGTTAATGACTGCACCGCAATAATATTTCTGTATTGTTGCCAGGAATAATTTGGGGCCCGATTGCCTAAAGGTTTGCACCTGCAAAAACGGACGCAAAGTTGATTGCTCACGGAAACAGATATGGAAGCTGATGTGCTAACCATGCACACCCAGGATTGCTTCTCTGCCAAACGTGCTAAATTGCCATCCAGCTCATTTTGTGCGCCCTGGGATGATCATGTGAAAACAGATTATTTAGCAGGCACAATATGATTTATCAAACCTGAGACAAATTGTGATGGCTAATTTTTCATCTTTTAAAAACGCGACTGAAAGGGAGATGCAAAGCCGTAGCCTTGAGCGCAAAGCTGAGTATGAGCCTTCAAAAACATAGCCTGCTTTATTTTTAAAAAAAGCAAATCAAAACAATACCTTGAATGTTGTCGTGTTCCAATGTGCATGTTGTCATTTTAAGCTTCCGTAATTTTCCAAGAAATGTTGCTCTTTCTGAGAAGCTGCTATCCAAAACACAGTCCTGAAAATATTAAGTTAAAAAGGAGATAGACTCAATAAAGAAAAAAAAAGATTTCAGAAATAAAAATTGAGTCTTTTAATCTACTCTGGTTTTTATATTAACGCCCCCCCCCCAAAAAAAAAACCAAAAACAATAAGAAATACATTACTTTGGCATGTAACTGCTGATAAAGAAATGATCCCACTTCTCCCTTATTGTATCTTGGGTGTGTTTGTCTGATTCAGTGAGTTACCTAAAGATCAATAATCATCAAAAGTGGCAGGGTTGCATTCCATAGCCTACTCATCTCCTGTTGATATTCTGTCCTGCTCAGTTGTGGTAACTCGGTTTTAAACACCCGGTGTTTGCGGTTGAATGGAGTAATCATTCTCTGGGGTGAAGTGAAGACTTTGTGTGTTTTGACAGTGAACTTCTCACAATCGATACTCACAAAGCTACTGGTTTCTAAATTCAATATCGCTGGGAATTCCAGGCAATCTTAAAATGCTGCTACATGAGGATGACAGTATTCACATTTGGAACACAGCGATGTGGTATTATTTTCAGGTTTATACTGTTGTTTACTTGAAGCTATGAATGCATATATTTTGCCAAACGGGAACGCGGTAAACCATATTAACCGCAAGGGATATTAAATCACATCGTTCAGTGCAAAAGGCCTACTGTCCGGTACGAGTCTCTCTCATAGTAGTTTTTCGGATGTGCATTCCCAAGTTTTAAAGGTTTTGTTACACTAGATGGACACTTGGGATGATTTAAATCAAACAAAACGTCTCTTTTTTTTCTTCTTTCTATCTTCTATCAGAGCAATATTTTTATTTTCTGTAACATGGTGTTTGTTTGTCTTTCCACTAACATTTCCAATTGCACCACTTCCAATTTCATATTGTGCTAGCTGTGCACTCCTAAATTCATTGTGGTAAAAAGCATCACCACGACTTAAAAATCTCTCTGAAATACATCTGTGGCACCTTTATACCTGTTGCGCGCAACCTGTGAGAACTCTGAATATGCAATTTAATGCTCGCGAGTTAGTATATTTGGTATTTGGTACACTGTAAACAATGGTATGTTTAATTTACTCAATTTTATTTTGACAAGCGGCTGCACACCATAGAATCATCTGGATTTAGATACATTTTGAAGTTGATGTATTTCACTGGGAACGATAGGAATTTTGCCAAAGAGAAATCCAATGAAATCTTGCCAATTAACTCAGCTATTTGCCTTTTTTTAATGGTCTTTCTGTATCGCCACAAGGTGGCACCAAAGCCCAAACTAATTGAAAGTAGTCATTGTTGTCAAAGAAGTATGTTGAATTGATGCCTCACGATGAGATACAGTACTCTTCTTTGTTTGAAGTCTTTATACAAAAGGGCGGTGCTTTGTTAATCGGGAAAATTACAGAGACTGTGGTTGATTATGCTCTGCTGAGTAGCTGTTCAAAAGTTCTGTTTATTTTCAATGTAATTTTAAATAATGGGAGATCATGTTTGAAGTTTGAAATATGAGATGAAAATGTTTTGGCATTACAGTTTGAGTTCTTAATTTAGGCAATTAACATTTTTGCGGCGGCGGGGGTCAATTATTTGTGTTTTTTTTCACCATTCGTGGCAGGGTGGGTCCCGACCCCACCCAAAAACCTACTCCACCCAAATAATGACGGTTTGCTGTCGTCGGAGAATGTGCCCCTGAATGATTGAAATAATAAAAAATAAAAAAAAATGGGACTTAAAACAACTGCAACTTGGTTGTATGGAAATAACCTCTTTGACAGATGGTGGATGCGGTATAAACATCGAATGAGGTGGACTAGAAGAGGAATGGAGAAGGAAACAAGTGATATATCTTCAGCTCCGATTTCCACTGTGATTGGAGCTCGGTTAGAATTGATGAGGGAGGCAGTAGTTTGTGCCAAGGCTTTGCTGGTTCATGGCAAAGTCAACACCTTACAATCCCTTTAAACCCTCACGTTGCTTACCAAAGAGCAGCATGCCCCATGCCAAGCCTCAGGCCAGATATCAAATTTTGTGTGCGTGTAGGTTATATCTGTGTGTAATGAATCTCTTTTCTCATCCATACGGTTTGATTTATGTAGGGTTTGAATTTTATTTTGCATGAACAGGTCAATGTAAATCGGCCACATGTCATAACATCATAACAATAAAAGGACTGCAAGGTTTAACAAAACAAAAAGCAGAACAAAACAAAAAAAGGCATTTGAACATTTTCCTGTCTATGGCTCAAACCTCAGGTCCAATGATTCCCTTGTGTTCACAAATATGTTAAAAAAAAACTCAGGAAGTTTCTGAAGGCTGTGGCTAACTGCAGCCGCTCAACAGTTGGCGGAGAGACCAACAACAGCATCTGTCACAGTCACAAAGTTTTTCCTGAACCCTGTGAACTAAAGAAAAAAGCCACAAGTACAGCACTCTATATGGTGTACTATATTTCGATAGTTCACAACATCTATCTATCTATCTATCGCAACTCACACACACACAACAATGCTGGAAATTAGCGGGGGGTTTTGCCTCTCAAACAAGGCCACTAAAACGCAACACTGTGATTGGACCGGCGATTACATGATAAAAACGCAGTGTTGCCAAATTTTACAGAATCACCGCGTGAACACTAACTTCTTATGCCTGTCATACATGGAGATTGTTCCGAATAAAAGCCACAAGTACAGCACTCTATATGGTGTACTATATTTCGATAGTTCACAACATCTATCTATCTATCTATTGCAACACACGCACACACACAACAATGCTGGAAATTAGCGGGGGGGTTTGCCTTTCAAACAAGGCCACTAAAACGCAACACTGTGATTGGACCGGCGATTACATGATAAAAACGCAGTGTTGCCAAATTTTACAGAATCACCGCGTGAACACTAACTTCTTATGCCTGTCATACATGGAGATTGTTCCGAATAAATACAAAAAAATCATCTGAGTGGCCGCCGCTGCTGAGTGATTTTTTTGCTTCCCCACTGTTTCTTTTTATTTTCTTTCTTTTTGCACTCCGCCGACTAGTGCTCTTTCTCTCCCACCGTGTGTGTGTGTGTGTGTGTGTGTGCGTGTGTACATGCTTGAAAATGACGTCGACCCCCAAAGGTTGTCTGAAAAGAGAAAACGTTTTTCAAGCTGCAGTATATACAACTTGTTTTTTATCAAGCTATTGCTTGAATTAAAGTGTGAAAACAATGGCGACAACTTTGCTATATAGATGAATGATCTCCACTTTGTTCAATCACGTGATGTTTACGTCGATCCCCACGAGTCAAACCGTTCTAAAACGGCTCTTCAGAATGAAGCATGTAAACAGCAGGGCCGAGATAGCTTCAGTTGGTCTCCACGTCTCACAGGTTTGTCCTGCTTTTAAATAAGTTACACTCGTCTGACAGTTTAAGTTAGCTAGCTGGCTTATATTATCTCTACCATAAAAGATAAGATAAGATAAGATAAGATAAGATAAGAAAACCTTTATTAGTCTCGCAATGGAGAAATTCCCAATTCACAGCAGCAAAGTTATGAAAGGAAGAAGTGGAACAACAAAATATAGGAGCTGCTGGAAAGGCAGCCACTCTCGCGGCGCCATTTTGAGGTCCACACGACGTAACAACAAACACAAAGTGACAAAACAAACACAAAAACAACAAAAAAAAAGCAAGGCTCATGAGAGCACTTGCTTACGGCTGCCTACTCGGGCGCCATCTTGACTTCAACTTTCAAGTTCAACAAAACAAGATTTTAACCCTTTCAGGGAAAGCGGTCATTACAGTGCACCGTTTATCATGTTATCAGGTTATCAGGTTACAGGGTGCATGAAAGGGTTAATATTCCCATTTCCTACCAACTAAAAGGTGTGAATTGGAGAAATGGTTCCTCGTTACTGAGCTACATAAAGTCATTCAACGCCTTCTTAGTGGTTATTATCGATCAAGTCAACTCTTGAACTGAAATATGTCATTTCAACTGTTTCCGCTTGCGGTGTCTTCATTTTTTTTGATATGTCATTTCAACTGTTTCCTCTTGCGGTGTCTTCATTTTTTTTTGGCTTTTCACACTTTAAAAACTTGTACTTCTGAATCTTTAGCTGTCTTTAAGATGATAAATGCACAGCCATGGACTAACTGTATGATATTATGTTGCGTGCTAAACTGCTAGCTGCTCAAGTGTCAAGTCAAGCTTTATTGTCAAATATGCTCTGTGTGCAACATACAGCACAGATGAAGTTGCACAAAGGCTTTTAAAGCCTTTTTTATATTTAGGGCCTTCTGTGTTTTGTACAAGAAATGCAAAGTTTAAGTTAATATTTACATTTGTTTGAAAATGCGGCAATGAAAACGTTTCAACACAATCAACTAGTTTTCTGCAATGCGGTGTGGATTAAGCAAGTCAAATCTGTTGATTATATAAAAAAGGAAACCACTTGTTTTTTCATTATCAAGTGAGATGTATAGGTAAAAATATCCAACATTCAACCATTACATCACACGTGTCAAACTCAAGGCCCGGGGGCCAGATGAAAGCTAAAAATATCCAACATTACACATTACATCAAAAGTGTCAAACTCAAGGCCCGGGGGCCAGATCTGGCCTGCCACATCATTTTATGTGGCCCGCGAGAGCAAATCAAGCATGTCAAGTTCCATGATACAATTCAATACAAGATGCTTGCTAAAGTCTGAACCAAAATTTCAAATTGTCATATGTAATCCACAATAACAGTCGTTTTGACTTCTGATTTTATAACTAGTTGTTCATCAATTTGTTGTGTGCCGTGTATGTAATATGCGAAGGTGATTAAACGAAATTCATTGTGGCCCTCGAAGGGAAACCATAAATACAATGTGGCCCGCGACAAAAATGAGTTTGACATCCCTGCATTACATGTTCATACTTACATGTTCAAGAAAATCGTTGCTTCAGATTCCTAGGATTAATCAAGAAAAAACAAATCCTCCTTAAAAATGACTGATTTGCTCATCCAATGAAGTCTAGCAAAACTTCTCTTCCCCCAAAATAAAATAGTCATATGTGGTATGTACATGAAAATACGTGTCAAAACACTCCAGGAGCATTTGGTGATTATTTTTCTTTTTAGTTTTTTTCTTCCCCCCCTGATTTAGAACATCACCGTAGCCACGAGTGTCAAGTGTCAAGATCCCCTTTGCTACCGAGACACGCTGCCTGCACAGACACAGGACGTCGGATTAGAGTAGAGACAAGCTGACTCTCTCAAATCAGCTCTCTCAGCTCTGCAAGGCTTCTGTTTCCAAGGCAGCAGTGTGCACATCAAATCCACTTCAGAAAAGACAACATTAAGTTACGAACCCCCTGTGATTGTGTGTGTGTGTGTGTGTGTGTGTGTGTGTGTGTGTGTGTGTGTGCGTGCGTGCGTGCGTGTGTGTGTGTGCGTGTGTGTGTGTGTGTGTGTGTGTGTGTGTGTGTGTGTGTGTGTGTGTGCGCATGTGAGTGTGCTTATTTGACAATTGAATATGAACCACTGAACACACACACTTGTCGTAAGACTGGGGCATTTGCAACTCAAAAAGCAGTTTTAAGTATGACACCAATACCAATAAGGTTGTTATTGTTGTAATGTGCATCATTGTTTTAATTGTATTGCTTTTGCATTGTAGGACTTTGTTCAACAATGACTGCTGACGTTTACAGAAAAAAAAAACACTCTCCTCTGCACCCTCAGCTGTTTACGCTCTACTGCCAAGGCAAGGTCTAATTATGCATTTGAGCGTGAGAGTTTAATTTGCACGTTTCATTTGGAGTGATTGGCACTCGCATAAGTTACGCTGAATGCTGCTTAACTAAAGGAGAGGCAGGCGGTAGACACTAAGCTCTATCACTTTGCCACTCCAGTTACCCAAGCAACACAAGTTTTCGCGAGATTTATATGAATGTCTCACAGGAAACTAAATGTGTCAGAGAAAAAAAAAGCTGATGAATGTTGTTGGTTTGGTTGTGTATGGCTGAAGGTGCTCGAGGATTTCTGCAATACACTCCCCTTTTCACGTTCTGCCGGTTTGAAATTATCATTACCAGTCACAATTAGCTTTGGCAGATACATGTCTAATATGTCCAATTATTTGTTGATTTATTTTATCTCAGGGAGATGGAGATAAAAAAAAACATACCAGCATTAGAGTTGTAAAAGATGAAACCTCACTTTTGGGTGCACAGTAACTGTCATGGGATGTTCATTTTTAACAGCGGCAAAGTGTCTATATTCATCCTCACGACCTGGTGTTAAATTAACATTTACTTAAATGTTAAATGTGTGTTGACAGCAATACAGTAATAAGGAGACTACTGAATGTTTAGCTGCAAATTGAGTGTTCATGCCACTGCGATACAGCTTTGGGGGGAAATAGCCCATGCACGCATCACTACCTTAACTTATTTAATGTTCCTCGCGTGTTAACTCATTTTTAAAATCCAACCGCTAAACACCCACCACACACATTAACTCGAAAATTGCGTTTTTTTTTATGTGCATTTGGTTCACAAGGGTCTGATGCAGTTAATCACAAAATATCACGCTTGGGAAGAACTGTAATGGAGTGCAATTGCCAGCAGATATCAATCGGGCTGTTTATCGGATCATAGCCAATAATGTTTTAAAGGTAGAATAACCCCATGGAGAAGAAACTAACGCGCCTATCGAGGGCGAAGGACTGAGGAAGGATGCGGTCGATCAAAAAATGGAGAAATACAGACAGTTGGCACTGGAAGACACTCTCTTTGGAGTTAAAACTACAAAGAGGTTGTCATCAGCTGATCAAGATAGCAATGACGCTGAGAGCATGCATATACCTACAATACTTTTCTCCTAACCCTCTCTGTATCGTCAGTGGAGGCACTGTCGATCGAAAGGACCCAAGGAGCAAGTCACTGACTACCTAAACCAAGGACACATCAGACAGTGAATTCGGACAACAGCAGTAAGGAACAATGCATATTCTTCAATCATTTTCATGTGAAAACTGCCTCATGCAAATAATAAAATCAGTCCGACCACACCGATAACAGTAAATAAATCCTCCATTCTCAATGCATTCAGGTAATCATCAAAACCCATCGAGAGAATTGACATCCTCCCACGTTGTCAATTAAACGGAGGATATACGGTTCTTTTACTGCCTTATGACAAGCCAGAGGCAGACTTCTGGAACCGCGCCCAGGGATAAGGTCTCAATTGATTTGTGAGCTTTTACGCTCGCGACAAATACCTCTTATGAGCTGCAGCGTATTATTTACACCTTTAAATGGGTCCTTTTTAATTAGGCAGTTGCTTTCAAAAATCAGTTGGACTGACTTTATAGTTTTTAGTTGTAAGGACTGGACTGTTAATGCTAGCGTCAATAACTGTCAGTTGTCCACAGCTTTGCAGAGAAGTCCATCCATTTTCATCCATCCATTTTCCGATCCGCTTTATTCTCACAAGGGTCGCGGGGGGTGCTGGAGCCTATCCCAGCCGTCTTCGGGCAGTAGGCGGGGGACACCCTGAACCGGTTGCCAGCCAATCGCAGGACACACGAGACGAAAAACCATTCACGCTCACAGTCACACCTAGGGGCAATTTGGAGTGTTCAATCAGCCTGCCATGCATGTTTTTGGTATGTGGGAGGAAACCGGAGTACCCGGAGAAAACCCACGCAGAACATGCAAACTCCACAAAGGGAGGCCGGAGCCGGGATTGAACCCTGTACCTCTGCACTGTGAGGTTAACGCGCGAACCACTGGTCCACCGGGCCCACCTTACAGATAAGTCTTTCCAGTAAATGTCTGTAGTATTTAATACCCCTCACCTCCCGATCCAGTTGTTGAAACTGTCCCGATTTTGTGGTGAAATCCGTCAAGCTGTAAGCTTGGAATTAATATCCTCTACCAGATCAAGGATACCGGAAACCTTATGGACACCATTGTCTTTGCGCCTCATACAATCCAGACATGCTGGGTAGCCGGTGTCTAATGTCTAATCTACAATACGCCGTTCAGCACTCTCCACGAGACTGACCTGCCACAATCGCAGATGCGGAATCTTCTTCTCTTTACTCTTTACACAACACCAGCTAATCTATCCTTCTCACTAGTGCCCCTACAAGCCGTAGCTATTACTACCACCCCCACCGGACAATTCAAACTGTCACAAACAGATGCCCCTCCCTCCCCCATACACACACACAAAGTGGTCTTAACTGTGTTAATCTTTTCCATGTGAACACTTCGCTTTCCTGTGACCATGAGCGCATGTTGCACAGAAACATTAACTTGACTGTGCTGAACATGCACTCTCTTTGAAACAAAACTGTTTTCCTTAATGGCCTGATTTTTGACAATAATCCAGAACAGGGGTGCCCAATATGTCGATCGTGATCGACCTGTAGCTCACGGTCTGGTCCCAAGTCGATCGTGAGGGGCGTAGAGAGGAAAAAACAAAACAAAACAAAACCATTTGTATGTCTGTGTGTGTGTTATCAATATGATATAGTTTTGTGTTCGTGCGCACTGCACCCAAAGCATTCTATCAGTCTCACCATCACAAAAAGTGTTTTAAAAAATTAAATTAAATTAAAAAAGCGGGTCACCTTTAACCTACGGTGGCGCTTGATCTGCGTTACCGGAAGTTGTAAGCGGTCAGCAGTTTGCAATTGCAGCTTGCGATCAGAACTGTAGCACTATTTCTTCTATTGTTATTAGTATTCTCATTCAGAGTTTGTTTCATGTACAATTAATTCACTGAGGGCACTGGCAAAGAATGAGAATCTGGAGCGCCGGGAGAAGAAAACTGTAGACATGAGCTACGACCTGCAACACGTTGCAAAAGTGTGTCCCACGTATCCGTGTCAAGTCTCGACGAATGTAGGCAGTGATTTTCCTTGTCACAAAACCACAAACTCTTGTGTCTACTTTATTTTTTCTGTTTCATTCATCTTAGGGGCTGTTATGGCATGTGTGTCTAAGTGCATGAGTATGTGCACGTGTGCCAAGGCTTGCTCACCAAATGTAAACTTTTTATTTTCTACGGGGGATGGTGAAATAGAAGGTGGGACTCAATTTATAAAACTACCATATTTTTTGGATTATACGTCGCTCTCGATTATAAGTCGCACCAGCCAAAAAATGCATAATAAAGAAGGAAAAAAACATATATAAGTCGCACTGGAGTATAAGTCACATTTTTGAGGGAAATTTATTTGATAAAATCCAACACCAAAAACATACTTGTCATCTTGAAAGGCAATTTAAAATAAAAATAAAATAGAGGCTGAATAAGTGTACGGTATACTCTGCGTCTTATAGTCTGGAAAATACGGTACTCCTATCCCAAAGGAAACATTTTTTAACAAGGATTTATCATTTGAACACCATGCCTTTTATTTTTACCACTCCTCGTATTTCTCTGTGTCACTGGGCCAGGGGTCTCTGTGATGATGGTGCTCCCTGTGGCTGCGGGCTATCATTCCTCTCAGAGTGGATGAGCTCCCCTCGGGTGCTGTTTCCTCGAATGGTTTCTCTGTACCTTGCCATTTTTTAAAGAGTTTACCAGGTTGTGTGTGTGTGTGTGTGTGTGTGTGTGTGCGCGCGCGCGCGCGTCGGCGTGCTTGTGGGGTTATACGTCTTTGTGTATGTTAGGAGGGGTGAGGTCTTTTTATGTTTTTAATGCACCACATTGAGTTGAATTTTTATGTATGAAATTCACCAAGCAGCTGATGACTGACGCTCATTAATTGAATGAACAAAAGTCACGTGCAGCTTGTCACTCTGGCTGCCTATTCCCGCTTGAACCAAAATGTTTTGGTTAACATGTGTTTAACGTGTTAAATACTGTGTGAATGAACTCGATTGGCTGTGTGGCACGTGACTACGTGACTTCACGTGAAATACAACTATTGACCCATCAGTTCGAAACAATATGAAATAGTAAAGTAACTGGAAACCAAATTAAGAAGCAGTTTCCATCCATCCATCCATCCATTTTGTGATCCGCTTATCTTCACGAAGGTCGTGGGCGTGCTGGAGCCTAACTCAGCTGTCTGTGGGCAGTAGTTGGGGGACACCCTGAACTAGTTGCCGGCCAATCGCATGGCACACACAGACAAACAACCATCCGCGCTCACACTCACACCTAGGGACAATTTAGAGTCTTCCATTAACCTGCCACGCGTGTTTTTGGAATGTGGGAGGAAACCGTATTGCCCGGAGAAAACCTACGCAGGCATGGGGAGAACATGCAAACTCCACACAGGAAGGCCGGAGTTTAACCAGTCGCCCACCGTGCTGCCGGCAGTAAAACAGAGAGAGGACTATGGACACAAAACAATTAACATTACATACTCCATTTCCTGTAGGACTACATGGCCAAATGAGTGAATATAAATAAAACGGAAAGCCTTTATTGTCACTGTATGATACAGATAATAATAGTGACCAGCATATACAGTACTACGAACTACCGGGATGAGGATCCACCTTCCCAAGGGTCTCGAGTTTCTCATTAAGGATGGTCGAATAGACACCAAAATATCGATATTTGATGTTGCTCAATGTAAGAATCAATGCTGAAGCTAAATTATCAACATTTGCAGTTAATTTATTATATTTTCTTCATATCTCCTTTTTTGTCTATTTTTTGGCATACAAACTCCTTTTTCCTTCTGCCTTCTGCACGCACGTAAGTACCGGCATCTGCTCCCCGCCCACTCTTATTCTTATGACTGTACTGAGAAGTGCAGGGGAGAAGCGCGGGAGAGAGGGGCGCACAGGGCTTTCACAGCAGGCAGAAGCGTTAGCTTTCAGTACGTTTCCGTCTCTTGAGACATTGAGGCAATTATCTATAACATGGGTAATCTTTTATGCCTCACAAGTTTAAAAAAAAACAAAAAACTCCCTGTATTTGAAAAAAAATTCTCACCGTGTACTTGTGTTGTGTATT